TGGAAATGGACAGGAACTAAATTTGTTTTCATTTGTTTAAAAAAGAGTGTTTTGTGTTAACATTCTTTGCAAAAATTAACGTTCCAGTAAATAGGAGTTCTCAAGTGAATACGGCAGAATGATGGTCACTGTTTTTACTTTGTAGCCAGGTGTACTTCATCTGGTTCCTGCTGCAAATTTACTTAAAACACATCTACCAATTAGAAAAGACACTCAAAGTCTTCCTTCCCGAGTTTCCATATAGGCCTCTGTGGATTGCTCACACAGTCCTCTCTCGGGAGCACAGTATTCCATAGGCACTTGCTCCCATGTTCCTCCCCAAGAACTGAACTCTCTTCTGGAACAAAACACTCCAGAAATCAAACAAGCCGCTAAGAAGGAAACGATGCACCCGGCAGCACCTTTGCAGTTACCTGCAAGGATTAGCAGCCTTTTCCACAACCCCTTCCCCGGGGGAGAAGGGGAAAACAGGGAAGGTCTATGAACACACCGCGCTTACGCAACCCCCCGAAGGCGCTGGCCCTCTGAAGCCGCCCAGGGACCTCACCCGGGCAGGGCCGGGACCGCCCGACACCTCCAGGGCACAGGGGCGGCTCGGAGCAGCCCCGGCTCCGCTAGGGGCGGCACTTAAAGCGCTGAGCCGGGCCCCTCCGCCCCCCGCCCGTCCCCGCTCCGAGCCGCCCCTGCCCCGCACCCCCCGCCCGCGGGAGCCCCAAGCCCAGGGCCGGACCCGCTCCCACCGCGGGCGCGGCCTGAGAGCGGGGCGGGGGGAAGGAGACGGCCGGGGGGGGGTGTGAGGGCAGCAGAAGGGCGGGAAGAAGCGGGCAGCTACGCGCGCGCACGGCGGGTAGCGGGGCGGGGGCTTATTTATATCCCGGCCGCTAATTTGGGAAGCGGGATAACCCGCGGCGCGAGGCACCTGCCAAGAACACTCACCCCATCCCGCGGAGAGGCGGCGGCCCCTTTAAGACCGGGAGAGGCCCCTCCCCCCGGCCCTCCCTCCCTCTCCCGCCGCGAGCCCCGGAGCCCGCCAATCGGCGGCGGCGACGCAGCCGGGGCTGCCGGCAGCCAATCGGCGCGTGGCTTAGTGACCGCTGGGGAGGCGAGCGGGCAAGATGGCGGCGCCGGGCGAGGCGGCGGGAGTGGGGGCTGTGCCGCAGCCCGAGGGGGCCGCGGGCGCTGCCGCCGCCGTGGTGCTGCCCGAGCGGCTGCAGCGGCGGGAAGCCGAGCGGCAGCAGGGCGTGGAGCGGCAGCGGCAGAAGAAGGAGGCGCAGGTGGTGAAGGAAGAGCAGAGCGAGTTCTTTTTGGCCGCGTTCGCCCGGGAGCGCGAGGCCGTGGAGGCGCTGCTGGCGGCGGGGGTGCTGGAAGAGGCGGCCACCCGCCTGCAGGCGCTGCAGAAGCTGCTGACGGGCAGCGTGCGGTTCCTGGCGCCCTACGAGGTGCGGCAGGGGCAGGAGGCCGTGGCGCGGCTGCAGGGGGACTTGGCGGCGCGGCGGCAGCAGCTGCAGCCCAAGAAGAAATTCGCCTTCCGCGCCCTTAAGAAAGAAGCGGCCCCGGGCAGCGCCCCGCGCCCCGCCGAGCCCGTCCCACCGGCCCCCGCCGCGCCCGGGCCCGGCCTGGCCGAGGGGGAGTCGGGCGGGGAGCCGCTGTGCGGGTTCAGCGGCGCTGAGGACGCAGAGCTGGAGCTCGGCCCCGCGGAGCTGCGGCAGCGGGACGTGCTGCTGTCGGAGCTGCGCGGCTGCCGGGTGCGGCTCCGCGGCAACCCCAACACGCTGCGGGTCCGCGACTGCCGCGGCTGCACCGTGCTCTGCGGGCCCGTGTCCACCTCCGTGATGGTGGACGGCTGCCGCGACTGCCTGCTGGCGCTGGCCTGCCAGCAGCTCCGCACACACCGCACCCGCGACTGCCGCTTCTACGTGCAGGTGACCAGCCGCGCCGTCATCGAGGGCTGCTCGGAGGTCTCCTTCGCCCCCTACGACTGGAGCTACCCGGGTATCGAGGGCGACTTCGAGTCGTCCGGTCTGGACAGAGACAGTAACAACTGGAACCTGGTGGATGACTTTGACTGGCTGGCGACTGACAAGCCTTCGCCCAACTGGAGCCTGATCCCCGAGCAGGAAAGAATCACTTGCTGGGACTGACTGCGGAGGCACCTCTGTGCTGTGCGAGAGATCCTGGTGTAAACGCATTGATTCACAAACCGTGGGACTTAATCCCCGATATGCCATTAAATGATTCCGTTTGGTATTGAAGTTGTGAATTACAGTGTATGACTGGATTTTTTTTAGTTGAAGAATACCGGTCAAAGAGAGTTTACTGTTGTTACACAAGCTGCTGCTATAATCTATATGTATCATTGTGGGATTTGCCAGCTCCTGCAGTACCTCATTGCTGAGTTTTTCTTAATTAAGGTGGGGCAAGGGCCGCTGATACACAAGCAACAGTGAGCCTCTGTTGGAGCTGGAGTGCTGCTTTCATTCTACCAGGCAGAATCTGAATTGGCTGCAAGTAGTGCAAGCTGCCCTGGAATGGAAAGATCTAACAACCAGATTTTTCATATTTTTGTTGTTCTCAAGTTACAGACAACTGTACACTATGGCTTATGAGGAGTGCAAGGGAATAATTCCACGAGGTAATGGGAACAAAAGGTTAATTTAAAGGAGGAGTTTGTAACTGCATAGTGTAGCAGACTGAGATGAATCCTAGACTGGCATAGAACGATGAGCCAGTTTCTCTTGATATGTTTTAAATCTAAGCTGTCTTCAGGCTTTTATTTCAAATGAGATAACCCAAAAGAAAAAAAAGCATTCTAATACACATGTAATGCCCTCCTAATATATTAATGATTGATTGAAATCAGCAAAGCTGTAGAGGCTGTATAAATACTAAACCTCCGCAACCTGAAAATGTTATGTGAGAGGATGCTTCCTATGTAAAAAGCTTGAGATGGATAAAATGAGTGTGTGAGCATGATTTCAGGGTCATTTACAGCAAGTGCAGATTAACATCACAGAATTTAGGTAAACTGTTCCTCTGCAGTCTGAAACTAAAGGGCAGAGATGTTCAGGTTGTTCCATCTGTCTACCAGACAAAAGGCTTTGTGTGCTGTGATCCTAATTTACAGCACTGCTACTGCCCAAGTGCAGTGGTGACAGGGAATCACTTAAGTACAGGTGCTATATTCCAGTTCCAAAATTGCATGTTATCTTGCACAAAGTGCATAGTAACTTAAGTCCCATTTCTTCCCTCCTGCTAAATAATATTTAAAAGGTAGCAGCACTGTGGAATACAGTGTCTTTACAGTGCCCTGCTAGTGGTGGTGAAGTGGCCACTCTCCATACATAAACCGTACAGGTTTCTAAAACCCCTCCTTAACTTGTGACATTTTGCAAGAGATAATGGTTTATCTTGCCTTAGAATCTGTATAAAGCTTTATCTTAAAACTGCAAAATATTTTTGCTGCTCTGCCGTCATTTACGTGCCTCTAACAGACGGTAAATGCTAGCTGAACCATCAAAAACTGCATTGCTGCTGTGAGAAGTATCTGAAAGTTCACTTAGGTAATTGACAGGTTTGAGCAGAAAAACCTTTTATCTAAGTTGTTTTCAGGATATTTAATTTAAAAGGGGAGGGGGGAAGGGATTTTTTTTTATATTCTTCACAACTTTGTTTTGTTTACTTCTGTTAATATATACTTTTTGACTTGAATTTTGCATTTCAAATATATTTGTTTTGAATTGTTTCAGTTGTCCCTTTACTAGTGATTCTTCTTTGCACTGACAACATCATAAACTGATATAAAGAATACACCCTTAGTCTTGCTTTAATGTACATAATTCATATCCTTTGTTAAAGGGATACGATCAGTTGGGGCTCTCAAGGAACTTGGTTTTAACACATCCATTATAGTACAGAACCTGATTTAGTATTCCGTCATTCTTCTCCACAGATCCTGGTAGTGACAGATCAATCCCTTTATAGCATCCTCTGGTCTTGGGATTGCAAATTGGTCAACCTGTGAGAACTACAGTAACACTTCTGTTCTGCTGCCCAAAGCTATAAATATTCATGCTTGCTAACTGTGAGGATGGACACTGACAGATCCGGAACTGGAGAGATCCTGCCAGGCTGATACCAGAGATATACTAAGGCTTCTCAGTGCACTTCACACTGGCATGTTACTGCAGTTCTGTATTAGCTCTTGGTCCATAGCATGTGGCGTTGCCTGAGTAAACAGAGCAGGAGTCAAGACAAGGAAGTTTAGGCTTCAATTATGCTCTGAAAAGGCTTTCTTGGTGACGTTTTTCAGAAGTCAAGTTACTAGCATCCCAGTTCACAACGTTTTCTTCCCTCCAGGTACTTCACTTCTGTCAAACCGAAATTAGTAGGAAGTACTCGTCAGGAAGGTGACTCCAGACTGTTTCAGACAATTACTTTCCCTTAAAGATTTATCAATACCTTTGTAATACAAAACAGGTAACTGACTCTTGGGCTCAAACACAGCAGGAAACAAGGAAATTCAATCTGAGAACAGCAAGACTGAAAATTTTTGGTCAGGCAAATACCTAAATGTGTTCTAAATATGTACCCCCTGCTGGAGTCCAGGCATTTCCCTCTGTCTGCCCCTGCATTGTCTGAATACCAAGAACAAAACCAGAGTTATTTGCCTTCTTTCTTTAGCCAGCCCTCTTTCCTTTAAATAGATTCTGATGGGACTTGGACTCCAGCCAAAGTGCTGTGTGAAAAGACAGGTACTATATATATATATAACACAATTTCTTACACACTTTTATATATTATATTTTTGAGGGCCTGGATTTCTTTTTTTTTTTTTTCAAGTTTCTTCTTACTTGAGGAATTAGCTGTATGTAGAGAAGAATCAAATCTTAGTTGCCTTACTTGGAACTGCTTCAGGTTTCACTAAACAGCCAATTTTATCACATACAAGGAAAGATAGGAATACCAAGAAAAAGAATCTCTGCAACTTGCAGAATTTCAAGAGTTTCCATTCACATCATGCCCTGATTTACCTGACTGACTTGGGGATCCACCTGTTATGCTGTTTTCCAACAGTAATAACAATCATGAGCCTTTTATAAGCTTTCAATTTTCAGTATATTTCTTTCCTGTTTCTGCAGCTACAAACTGATTTCTAACTCCTACTCTTAAAGCAGTGAAAACTACAGCCCAGGCATCACAGTCATTCAAATAAATACTCAAAATGAACATCTCAGGGATCAGAGAAAAGCTGTGTGTTTCTGAACATGTTACACACCACATGGATATTGAAGGCTGAAGTGCTGAGAACTATCCAGACCAAAACCACACTAAAACCTCCACAGTGTGCCCCAGTGAGGTTTAGGAGTCACAGGGTCCAGCACTTCTCCCGGGGTTTACAACAGTCCCAGCAGTGAATTCTCCAACGTGCCTCTGTTTCCAGCCTCAGAACCCGCAGTCCCCTCACATGCCACACAAATAGGAACCTACCAAGTTACCTGTAAGGAGGGGAAAAAAAAGTCATAAATCAGACTTTTTTCCTCCACCTGGTAATCATACAGTGTGGTACAGTGATTTTATCACATTCTTCCTCAGCAGTGTCCCTGTACACACCACATCGTTACAAATGAAAGCAAAACTACAAGCTAGGTTGCATGAGAACACCTCTCGACACAACAGCTTCCCATCATAGGTAAAACCGAGTACAACTGTTCTTGCAGTGAAACCTCACCACTCCTAAGGAAAGAAAAGGGGAAAAAAAGCCTCAGAAAGGCACACCTTTTTATTATCACAGAGCAGTGTGAAAGAAAGATTGGGCCAGGAAATAATTTAATCAGCTAAGGGCACGTCCATAGTTTAAACATATATGTACTTTATATCTCATGTTCCTGAAGATGGAGAGATTAAGATTGGCCCAGGACTGGGCAGCAGGCTGTTTAACAAATACGAGATTAAATTGTCTGCATTAAAATCAACTTTTTCCTCTCTCTTCACTGATAAATTTGTGGTTTATATTTAGGTTAGCAGGCATAGCTTTTTGGAAAGGTATCAATATTGTATTGTTATACAGAGACATTACAATTTTTAACAATGTTTTGAATTCAAACGCATTCATGGTGAGATCAATAATAATTTAAATAACATATTCTACCCTTTTTTTTCCTCCTAAATGGGATATGAATTATGCATTTGAGTTTAATGGGCAACCGCTGAGGAGACCATTAACTCAAACACTCTTACAGCAATTAGCTTTTATCTGCTATGGATCGGTTTCAGTATTTTCTGTTTGAAGTAGAAAGCGTCAGTAAGTGCCAAATTAAAGGCGAACCACAGCCAAGATGAATTTCTGTAAGGAAAGCAGATGCAAGGCAAAAGCAGTTTTCTTTTTTATAAACTGCCCAAACCTCTTTTCCGTGATCCCCTGTAACCTTCCTATGTCTTAAGTTGGTTGTTCTGCCAGGGACAGCCCTCGGCTGATCGGTTTGTGCTGAAGCTTGCACACGGGTTTATCCCGTGACTGAGATAGCGGGGAAGCATTAACTCCCAATTTAAAAAGTGTTAACTTCATCTTTTGAACAAAGTGTCAGAGTATTGCACATGATTTACTGCCACCAATCGCCTTTAAAACTTCTAAGCATAGTGAGTTAACTTGATGGGCGGGGTAGTTTTTGCCACTCCAAGTCTCCAGCTGGTATTGGACTATTGAAACTACTTCAATAAACAGCATTTATCCTCATCTGGGTTATTTTAGTTGTGCTAATTGCTCTGTGATGACTTTAAGGGTACCACCCGAATTCTTAAAGATTTGAGTGTTCCTTCCTAAACATGAGGTGAATTACTGATCATCTCCCAGATAACAATAACTAACTATTTAGGACTGATTTATTAGGACTCCTCCCATTACCTTAGTTAAAAGCAAAGAGTAAAGGGAAAGTGAGCCCTGAAGCATATGCTGCATGTTCCATTTCAATATTTTTATTCCTGAGTTAATAGGAAACACTACAGTTGTACAATGAGGTGACTTTGCTGCATCATACGTATCGTGGATATCTGAATGTTAAATCATTAAGGTAGGGGGTATTCAGACTGTCATCTGTGCTCCTGAATACCAAAATACCCATATCCAGAGCAGCACCAGGCTTACATTAGCTGTGGGCAGGTTTACTACTTTTTGTCCTGCAGGACACATTTCACTGTATATCCTCACGATCCACAGACCCGACAGAAAATTCAGGAGAGATGTTATTTCAGCACTGTGGCTTAATGCACTAAAACATTTAATAGGCTCTCTCAAGAAACAGCACTTCTCATCCACTTCACAGCAAGCAGAGAGAATAGCCTCAATGGATAATCACTTTCCTCCTTTCCCTTACACACTCACCACTCGCCGGCAAGGGCAGCAGCAACGTGAACAAAGAAGCTTGCTTTAGAAAAATCCCAGTTACCAGCTGCTCTGCAGGTCTCTGCAATAGCATGGGGATGGGCCAGGAAAGATCCACCACAAAACCCTTCCATTAGCACAGGAAGAAGTAGCAGCTTCCTAGCTTTTGTCCTTGTTGAAAGGACCTGGAGCATTCCAGGATCTCAAGAGGTAACTGAGCAGCAGGCATCAAAATACTATTCTTCACTGCTTGGGTTTTTTAATTATTGCTATCATTTGTCGCACTTGCCTTCCTCCTGGGCAGGTCCCCTTCCCCTGTCTCTTCTTGAAGGCTGGTGGCCATACTGCTGGCAGCCACTAGAGGATGCCCCCAGGGTATTTGGTGGTGGCAACAGCAGGTCTGTTTGACAAGCTGAAGAAAAACCTCCCAGTCCTTCTTCTTGGGCTGCTCCTTTCTCCCCTGTGGCATTAGCACCCATGTCCTCACACACCTGCAGGTTAATTTTCCATTGTTGGAGGTTGCCTGAGGTTAATTTTGCTTTGTAGTGGCAGGAGGTGAGCCAGCCGCAGGATTTTCCCAGTAGCTCTGAACTTCTGTGGGGCAAGGGGGGAGTGAGAAAACTCCTCAAGCAATGGGAGAGTGAAAACCCAGCATCTCTGCTTGTGGGAAACAGCTGTGTGTTATGAGGAGGAAGGCCCCTGCCAAAGAAGGGGATTGCACCTATCCTTTTCTGCCCACTACAGCGTGAAAGTGGAGCCAGGCTTCGAGTCCCTCGGCAGACCCCAAGGACCCCTGAGGTGCCTCCCTTGCACTGGCTAGACACAAGGTCCCAAGGGTGCCTCTCCAGCTGCTGAGTTGAACTCCTCCTTGGGGAGTCTCCTTGGCCAGTCCTGCTCCTCTCCCTGGCCTGGTGATTATCCAGTAAGCTGCTCGTGCCAGCTCACTTTTTATAAAAGCACCTCTAGATTTCAGCCCAGGGTTTATTTACTGAGTTTCTCTGCACTTTTCCTTTCTTCTCCTCTCCTGCCAAGACCCAGAGATGGTACAACCCAAGATGGTACAAGAAAATGCCAAGCTTAGTTTTTTTAGGTCACCGTAAACTACACGCTTATCTGCTTTCAGAACACATAAGCCACAGGATGTCATCTCAAGCCAACACAGAAGGATAAGGACTAGAAACTTGTTTTTGGCTGTAGATATGAATAAATCAGGATAACATTGGGGAAGTATATGGTGTTTTTTTTAAGGGCTCTTTTTTAACCCAGAGCCCTCTTCCTCTTTCCTCAAAGGATCCATATTCTTCTGGCAACAAAGATCTTTTTATATCTTGGGTTTTCATATTCTGCCCAGCCTATCGTAAGAGA